GCATGACTGCCGAGGCATTGACGCTTTACAAGAGAAAAGGAAAGTGGCCACCAGCTGCATCTTATGACGCGGCCGGTGCACCAAGCAGGTACGTGGACAGCTTGGATGGGTCAGACGCCTCCTGAACAGAAGGTATCTCTGCTCTGAAGCGTCGGATTGCACTGTTCGTGTTTTCTTTTTGTGGAGCGGGAGGCCCATGGACACTGCTTGGTGCACCTGGGCGCATTGTAAGACGCAGCTGGCCACATTTCTTCCTTTCCTTTTTGTAAAGTGCTGATGCATCGGCAGTCGTGCACGGAACGTCGTCATCCCGTCGGCTCGTCGTTTCGTGGCCTTTAACGAAAGGCACGCAGCCCCTCTTTGCCCAGTCTTTCAGGATTTGGTTTCTTAGGCGGCGTGTGGCACCGCTGTCAAGTCAGTACGCATAATCATAAGTGCTTGTGTGTGCGCGTGTGCTTTCTCGGGCTTGGCGGGCTGGAACATTTTTCCTGCTGCCAGGCGCTAGTGTTTTTGCAGCCTCAAGGATGGTTTTTGCCCCAGCGTGGGATTTTTAGTGTGTCCACTTGTTTTTTTTGGCTGCTGCGGAGGGTTTCTTTCGCTGCCAAGGCAGGGTCACAGTCTGACCAGCAAAGCAACGAACAGAAACGAGAAAGAGACGAAACAAGCAAACCAAACAAACCAAACATGAAACACAGGAAGCGGCACGTGAGCAAACCAAAGATACCAAGCCAACACAAAACGAAAAGAAACAAATGAAAAACAACGGCCGCAAACTACAGGAGAAAATTATGCCAGCATAGGCCCCAGAAAACGAAAAACAATTTGTCGGCACCAACAGCGCAGCAAAAAAGATCTGGGAAGCAGCAAAAACACCATTCTGCAGCAGAAAATACCCGCAGCTCATTTTGTGCTGCATTTGCCACGAAATCTGCACTTGAACGTCCACAAAGTGCTGCGCGTGCCACGAAGTCTGCTCCACAAAGCGCTGCGCCTGCCACAAAATCTGCGCTTCAAGGTCCACAAAGCGCTGTGCGTGCCACGAAAAAATCAGCGCTTTAAGGTCCACAAAGTGTTGGATCTGCCGCAAAATTTGCATTTCAAGGTCATAAAGCACTGCGGCATCTGCACATCAGGACCACGATGTCAGCCCTGGCGACTCGTAGCAAGATGCCAAAACGCACGCAGCTTTCACTCAAGACGACCTCCGACTTCTGAAAACGAACCACATGTCCTAAAATCATGATTCACTGCACCCTGCCATGCCACAAAAATCAAGTGCTACGCCGATCTCCTGCAGCGTCACGAAGAGTCGAACCAAAACACAGGGTCGACCCCTTGCGCCTGCCACGATTTCAGTGGTCATCAAGACCCAAAATGCGCGAAATGCGCCACAAAGCGCGGTGGCAAAAAGCACCCGCTCTGGCCACCAGATTCTGCAGCCTGTGCTGTGGCAAAATGCACCTCGAAGATGAATGCACAGTGAATTTGCAGCAAATTAGCCGATGTGAGCACCTCCGATCAGACACCCGGTCTTGGCTCCGACCGTGCGAACCCCCAGTATGGCCACATGACGCACGCAATAATTCAAGTATATGCATTTGACACAGAACCAGTTCGCTTACAAACTTCATTCGTGCAAGCGTCTCTCAAAACGCACGAAGCTGCAGTGACATGCAAACTCATCCAAAAACCAGTGATGGTTTTCCAGCAATGTTTGTTGGAATTTTGTGTTTCGGTGTGGTGAAACGTTCTTTTTTGGAAACACATTGAAAATGCGACCTTCAGAGGAATCATTTGTCAAACGAAGGCGTGTTTTGGCATCTTGTCATAGGATGCATCGTTGGAAAAATCCAGACAACAACATCTTTTGTTCCTGCCCCGGTGGGGATGTTGGATTCCATTTGATTTTTTTGGAAGATGGCTCCCTTTCCCTCTCCCTCAAAGTGGACACAGTCCAATGTTTCATTGCCTTGAATGGTCTTGAATCGGCAGAATCAGTCGGCCCATGATGCTTTTTCTCCTACACTTCTGATTTGCATCGTTCCTTCGATCGTTCCTTCGGAAAACAGAATGTTCAGTCGGAGTTGTCCAAGATAACTTGTGCTGACAAGATTTCCGATCAGGTTTTTGTGAGAATTGCAGTTCTTGTTGTTTTGAGTTCGCTGATAAATCCTGAAGTTGGCAAACACATTTGTCATCGCGCACGCTTGACAGACATTTGAGGATCATAGCATGCTTACAGAAAACCATTACGAAATTCAGATGAATTGCATTCCATATTGTGACCTGTTGCTTCGATTCTGGCAACTTTGAACATGTGGGACTTCAAGGCTCCAAGAAGGCATGCCCCTGAGATACTCAAACGGGCATTTCAGACTCTGTGAAAGCAGAGCGACAGAAGGTTCCCAAGTGCAAGCTTTTTCACCTGCGGTGTGAAGCCCTCCTCATCGCGTGGCCTCGGGGCCGATCGAAGTGGAGCGAAGTGGTGTCCTCAAGTACGGGAGCGATGTGGTTTGGGCAAACTGCACGAGCACAGAGAAGGGGAGTTCTGCATGTAAGAGTTCAAAGGATCAGACCCCATCCTGCCTCAACGAATTTGGAAACAAGAGATTTTCCAGACTGTCGGAGTGTGTTCCTTCTACTTCTAAAGACTAGGCAAGTCTTTAATGATATGGTCGCTTTTCACAGGTGTAGAGGTGAAGGGAACACCCAATGCCCTGTCACCAACGACGTTGCACAACATAGGCTTGCGGATTTCAAGCTGGATTTTGTGTCCGGAGTGACAATGCATTGTAGTCTTAGTACCAGCCAAGTATGTTGCAGAAATTACAGCAACGCATACTGAGAGGAATTTGCTGCATGTGACAAGGGAGGCAGATTGAACCAAAAGCCAGCACACATTCCAATGAGGGGTACACTTGCATTTGCAAGAAGACTGGCAAGTTGCTTTGTACTTGAAAAGACACTTCACTATTCCATCGTTTAGTTTGTGCAGGGATTTCGATCATGTTACAGAAACTTCAATCTGCACTCAAGCTAGGCAATCGCAGATTCCTGATTCACGCGTTTGGCCTTCAAGTCTCAACTTGAAGCCAAGGTCCGACCTCCACGACTGGTTGCTAGGAGAAACCTTCAAGGCATCATGCCAAGGCCTGATTTTCGACCAATTCCTCAAACAGATGCTTTCAATGCTTTGTCCGGGACATTTTCATTTTCCATCTGAACTGGCGTGGGGTTTCTACTTTGTCAAGAAAGGTGTGTCCTGATTTCAGTCGCACAAAACACCGCAGCAAGTGACGACAATGAGGTCCTGAGTCTTCGTGAGCTTTGCTCCTGCCGAGGCAGTCAAACATCGCGTATACCAAGGCATTAATGTATATATATATAACATTCCGTAAACTTTGACTCTAAGCTTGTCAGGACCCATCTCAGCCTTCACAAGCTTGTTAAAGGGGCCAAAAACGTTTTCTTTTTTTTTTTGCATGGCGGTGGTGAACCCTTCTTCATGCATGCACTGCACAAGCTGGTCCCAAGATTCTACAACTTACGCCAGCTGCCAGTCCAGTTCATGGTTTTCCAGCTTCGACTTGATTGTCTCAGTTGATCAAGCTTTTTATTTACTAAACCAGCTGAGAGGATGCTTGAGCTTCAAAGCCGAGCTGGATCCTAGCGGGCTTGGTGGCTTAGCATACGCCGAAATCGAACTGGCTACACGGCTGTCGCAAGCTACCTCAAAAGCGAAGCAGCCCCTTTTTTAGATCAGCTGTCCTGCAATAGTTTGCATGCAGTTGTGCAACACAAGACTTTAAGAGCGCGCATTTCATGTCAGCCTCATGAAACAATAGTCAATAGTAGCAAGAACGCTACTAGTAGCTTCTGGCATTACTAAAGCTACTAGTAACAAAGGGCATCGCTACGAACGGAGCAAGGTTCGCTTACTCACGTAGCTCATGAAACAAGCCCTAACTGAGGCTGTGGACGTCACATTCAGATCTCAGGAACTTTAGCTTTTCACGCCGAAAGAAGCTGTTCTACCGTTCTTCCCGTGGAGTTGGAGTTGAGTCTGGGAGGTTTCAAAGTGTGAATTTTGGAACAGCACCTTGCCCCATCCGTTCCTCCCTTCTGAGGTGCACTTGGAGGCCAATGTGAAGGCCATGTCTACTGTGTGTTGCCACACGTGACAGCCACGACAAGCACCTATGTGGACCGTCTGCATGTCACTCGTGGTAGCTGCGTTTCAGCTCAGGCTCGCTTCGGTCGCGAGCAAAGGCTTCAGCTCGGGTCCATTCTTCGGTTCATGAGGTGGTTCTTGCACCTTTGGAGCTTGGCGATAAGTCTGGTCGCTTGTGAAGGTGAAAACTCGACCATTGATTGGACAGAGCGCTTGCGCTTGGACGACAAGTACCTGAACCCCAGTGGAAACTCTCGATGTCCTTCCAAGTGCCGGTACTATTTCGCTGGAGCCTCGCCACGAGATGCTGTCATTTGCCAAAAGCAAGCTTCTGGAGTCGGCACCGCCCAGCAGAATGCAGAGTTTGGAGTGGCTTGTTTCCCAGCCTACGGCTGTGGCAGAGACATGATCACTTGTGTGGATCAGACTTGGACATCGGAGTTGCCCAACATCTCTGATGTCCAAATGGCTTGCTCAAACTTGAATGACTTAGTCTCTGAGAACCCGTGGACTTGTGGATCAGAAGCTGAGGGGCGCCCAGCGTGCCAGCATGACACTCCCAACAACAATGTGGGGAAGTGGCTCTTGGCAAGCGCAGAGCTGGGGTGCGGGTGGGGCTCCACCTACGGCAATGTGGCCCCTGACTATCAAGGTGTTTCGCTGCCTTACTCCAGCTTTTTCACAGTCAGTAGCGAATACGAGTGCTGCCTGAAGGCCATGTCCTTTGAAAATTCCACATGGGCTGAAGGTGGTGGGTGGTGCTGCACTTTTCTTTCAACTGAGCGGTACGGAATGCAGAGTGGATCGAGAGAAGATCATTTATGCCAATATGGATTCCTCTTCTGGCAGGCATGGTCAAGTCTAAGAGTACTTCACATGTTCATGCATGCGACCACCTGCTCCTTTACGGAAAAGGGTCTTGTTCTGAAGTGGATCTCTATGGTGGACTTATGTCATATTCATCTCCCCTGCTGTTCTGTTTGTCAGTGTACACTCTAAAACATGTCTTTGTTGAACTGGCGCCTGTTGCCGAGAGCTGAGGCGGCACGGCGTCCACCCCCCCAATTGTTATTCTTGCCGTACGTGAATAAAGCCCTGAGACGTGTTGCCCAAATCTGTCGGACATCGGTTTTCTGCAGGTCTGTGAAATACCAGAACACCCGCTGTGGCACCGCGCGGCTCTTCTATCGTCACGCGGCGGGAGCAGCTGATGCGGCCAATCTGCACACTGGTGGTCGGTGTGTGCTGGATGGTGGCTTCAAACGTTTGGACCTGGGTGGTGGCACTAACCTGCCGCAGGGTGAAATCTATTCCATGGGTCACGAAGCACCAAATCATGACTGTGACCCCAATGACAATTCTGCTGGTGGCTGCAAGGCGAGCTTCATTTTCAATACCATCGCGGATGCTGAGGCCTGCTGCGAGCAATGTCGCAGCATGAACTGGGTTCCCCTGCTTGGCGGCGTCGTTGAAACAGATGGTTCGAATGGTGCTCAGATCAACCCTTGTGTGGCGTGGCAGGTCGTCGAGGGTCGCTGTCGGATCAATCGAAAGTACTATTACGACATGTACAACTCAGGCCAGTTGATCAAAGATGCCTTACTGGATAATTTGTACCCTGCACCAGGAAATCCTGGTTGGTTGGTGCGAACACGAGGCTGTGGCTCTTCAATGGAACGTTGCAACTATTTTTCCTACATCTACTACAGAGAGCTGCAAGACTCTAACGTGCACCCAGTAGGAGTGAGGAGCAGCACGAATGCCACCTACCGCAAGGTCATGGGAGGGAACCTTTCAGACCTCACAGAGAACATCACTCTGGAGGTCAGAGCCAGTTCTGTCCAATCGCGCCATGATCGCAGACTCTCCTTGCTCTCGCAGGGTGATGGCGACGACAGCGATGAGAGCAGCCTGGAGAAGAGCGATGGCACGGACGTGGGCCTGGTGGAGGTCTATGACAGCAGTGCTCTCCGCAGCAGCGGCGACTATGACATTTTTGACGAGGCGATGTTTCTATTCCCACGCTGGGTGGGAATCAGGGATTCGTTTGCGGAACCACACTGGTTATGTGAACGAAGTGATGGTCAGGGGATGATCCATCATAATCCATCTAGATAAGTCTTCAAAAGATGTTCAAATCATTTCAAATCTCCAGAGTCTGACTCACTGACTGCCCCTCCAAAAGCTCCCCAGTCTCCTAGGAGTCTGGTCCAGTTCCGCTTTGCACCACGGGCCTCATCAGCTCCAACAGCCCAGTGGCTCTCAGCTGCTCTTTGGCCTCCAGTGGTGGACGCCGGCTGCGGGAGGTGGGTGACATTTTCTTTGTCTTCACAGCGGTCGGTTCCGGGTATGACCAAGTGAACTTCCAAGCTGGCGTGAGCCTGGAAAATGTGCAAACAACTTCCAGTTCCACCAGTTCGACTTCTTTCAGCGTCACCACAGACGACACAGCGGAAGGCACCTCGACTTCAGGAAGCACGATGATGGGCTCCACGACTGACTCCACAGCGGGCTCTACGACTGACGCCACAGCGAGTGGCAACACTGGGAACAGTTCCATGAGCACCACAGAGGATGAGCTGCCTGATGCTACCAGCTGCGCTAGAACGATGAGACTCTTCAAGTTCCTATGTTGTTTGAGCTGTCTTCAGCTCTGTTAACGCGGCTTGCGCCAACACCTTAAAGGTTTGGCTTTCATGACCCTTTTCCGTGCTTTGTTGCCTCCAAGAGCAACAGGGGCACAAGGGGCACAAGACCCCGAGGGTCCAAGTCTTTCTTTCGGTGACAGCTCTCCGAGCTGATTGGAGGCTAAGTTGTTTGGAGGCTTCCAGGAATCGCAGCTCCTTTGTGACTAACTCCTGGCGCAAAGGTAGAGGACGGGATGCATTTGCATGAGGCAGGACTGTTGGATGGTCAAACAAGTCCTAGGACCAAAGCCAGCATGAGGTTTGTATCTCGCCCTGCTACACCAAGAAACCAGTCGTTTGATTCGCCGGCTTTTCGTTTCAAGTTTCAAGGTACTTTGAGATGGAGCTGCAGCATTTGTGATGAATCAGGGAAGTTGTGAGTTGGTGAGGTTTTCGACAAGGTGGCAATGAACCAGAACTCCTGTTGAGTTTGAAGATCAAACACCCCGGGCATCTCAAGAACAATGTGGAGGCTGATGCACCGACCGGAGCCACACGGCCGAGCAGGAGGTGCATACCGCATACCCGAGGATTTGTTTGGAGACACGTTCTACGATTCTACAACTCCTGCGTGTAGCAGCACCGAGCATGGGGTTCCTGCCTGTGTGTTTATCCTGGATCTTGAAGGGAAGCATCTTGCACCCGGTTGGTTTAAGAAAGACCCTAATAGACCCTAGCCCTAGAACAGTGGGGTGGCATGTTGGGGACAGCTTCTATATCCAAAAAGACAGCAAGACAAGAGACAAACCTCACCCAACGTGGGACTGGTTGAACCTGGTAGGGTGGGACGCCGCTTCAAGGACCCCCGCTTCAAAGCTGTTAAACCGCCCGGCAGAAGTCAGTTGACCAGATTTAACTTCGAGAAGTCTACGGTGTTGGGAGCTGACCCAGCAAAAGTTGGTGTGTTTTCCTCTTTTAAGGCTTGAACTTGATTTCCTCCCCATGGCCAGTGGTTCACTGGCCTTCACGGCTTATCAACTGGGACGAATGGATATGAATATCGGATCGTTGGGCCGAGCCCAGTTGGCCATGCCTTTCATTCTCTTCAGAACATCATCACCAGTCTGATGCGTCTGCCTGCTAGGTGGAGGTTGCCTCCATGCCAGCTGGTGCGCCCAGGAGGATTTCACTCTTGTTGCTGACGCATCTCATACCTTCACATTGTGAATAAAGACGATTGAGTGAGTGGCAAGCGACCTACTATCGCCTAGAAGGAGCTTTGGCACATGTGTCGTTCCTTTGCGTACCGATCTTGAAGTTAGTTTGGCTGCAGCTAGAATCACTTGGCCTGAACCCGAACCCTACCTTCAAGCCCTCATAAACCCCGCTCAGACCCCCCACCGTTGGCTGCACGGCCGGGCACCGCATCGCGGCAACAGCCTTAGGTCTCGCGGCTGTTCGTGCAGGAGGTCTCGCACGTTTTGAGGTGGGGGAGACGTTGAGACTGAAAGGAACCATGGTGAAACACCCTCCAGGACCATCACCAGTTGCTGAAATCAGAGGGGAGAAAATGGGGTAGCCAGGATCACTGCACAGAACTGGAGCTGAGATGAGAAGGATGGACTTGGGTGGCGATTTGGACGGAAGACAATTTGTCAATCTTCCACACTGTGAAGCAGCTATAGTGGTCCCCCAAATAGATTAAATAGATAGTGGCTCGGTTTCCTGTTTGCATTTTTAGTGGGGATCTACGAACTTCTATCTATGACAGGGGGTCGATATACTGTATTCTATGAGGGCCAATGACCAACTTGACTGCCGCTGCTTCTTGAAGTGAGACAGGGAGGCGTGCATAGTGCTGCCCAACTCCAAGACTCAGCGCGTGGCGACGGTGGTAAGGCTTTGATCAAGGAAACGGTTCGTTTCTACTCTCCTCTTCGGCTTTGACCAGAAACCTGCCTTTGCAGTGCGAAGACCTGCTTTGGTTCACTTCACCTTTCTTTCAGCTTTCACGGACACGCTCGGCTTTTCTTGATGGTTTTTCGTTTCAAGATATGGACACTTCCTGGCATCTCCGAACTGACTCGTTGGGAATGACCCATCCGACTCGCTGGCTTCGGTTCGGTCGAGCGCGGGTTCAGGGAGCGCCAAACTCCGACGTCAGCGGGTTCGTCAGCGTCGCGATGAGGACGTCAGCGGGTTCGGGTGTGGTGGGGAGGTTCGGTGGTGCAGTGGGTGCAGTGGGTGCTTGGAGAGGAGCCTCAAACACCTGACCTCTCAGCATCTCCGATCTCTTAGACCAACAGATTACCAAAAGAGTGGCGCAGCTCACATGGTCCAGGACCGTGGCGAGGCGTTGCTGGAAGCGAGGAGCAGCCAGGGGGTCATGTCCTGGGCGAAACGCACGCGATCGCAGGCGCAAGCCCACTATTTAAAACCGGTGCATGCGTGACGTCGTTTGTTGAACATATTTCCGGAAACACTCTTGCCAAAGACAGAACAGCCCATAAGTTCTTCAAGCAGGGTGGCAGAAACTCTAGGTCGCCAAGAATCTAGTATGCCCCCACGCCTGGTAGCTGTGCTTGTAGCTGTTCTGCTTGGGTGGGCTGTGGGCAGAGGATCATGATCAGCGGCTCCAAGTACACCGCCGATTTGTCTTGACCCTCAACCAATTTGTCCCGCCGCCACCTGACCTCACGGCATCCGCAGGATCTTTGCGATAGCAATACCATCATGGGATTGTGGATGTGGTGGAAACCCAACTGACCCGAAATGGCTTAGATGAATTGAGATGCGGGGTTGCTGGTGGTCACTTGTCGGGCCTGATCCTCCACTGGTAGGCATGAAAGCTTAACCCGCTTATTTCTGGCATCAGTGAAGGCCAGACATGGCATATGATTCATGGGTGCTCTGATGAGCCTGGATCATGTAAGCTGCCACTGTTTTGTACTCTCAGCCTGCAAGGTTAGATACATGTGTCATCCAAAATAAGCAAAATGAAAAGGCATCAATATCCAAGTCCCCTACTGTCTACCTTGATTGATTTGTTGACAGGACCCCGGCGCACTTCTCCGCCACTCGAGCGGGGCCAGGACGGGGTCTTCTTTTTGCCAACTCTCTTTTGGGGACCTTGACCAATGACGATGTTTGGTACTTAGATTGGTTGCAATGGAGATTTGTCAAGACGACTTGATCAAACTGATCCAATTCTTTCAGGAGTCGTTCATGGCTGAAGACATCCAGTTGGAATTTATGCCTGCCAGAGCCTCGGGTTTACCGCTTCAATACATGGCGGGCTTGTGATATCCTTTCAAATCAATCGTGCCCACTCTGCGGGTTGCAGAGGCATTTTGCAAAACAACTCCCAGAAGACGAACTTCTTCCGCAAGACGGATTCAGAAAACGAAATCTGTGAAGACGAGTTGCTCCGTGAAGACGAAAACGAATCCCCAACAGGGTTCCCCACTTTTTGCCCACTCGTTGTCCCCTCTTTCCCCGCTCATTATTGCGGCCGGTTTTGACTTTGCCCCATGTAATTGGCTTCGGCATTACCATGTAACTGAAATAGGGAGACCGAACCGCCGGCGTTCCCACCCATGTGATTATTGTCGTATTATTGTCGTATTGATTCACAACATTCATGGATTAGAATCTGAACCTATCCCAAAACAGGATCAGTTTCCTAGTTATTTTGGGATTTTCCATATTCTAAACTCCAGCACTATATATACTCCAATACGCTGAAGCCTTTTGTCATGCTTCCTCAGACTTGGATAGAGTAAATCATCAGAGCTCAGATGAGTCCTTGGCCCAACTTCATTGCATAGGACAGAAGGAAGTAAATTCCCTATTTCAACATGTTGCACGCTTTTCACTTGAAAACAACGAATTCTTGGGTTCTCAACAGAAGCCATTTTGGTTTCACTGCGCAAGAGCGACGGCTCGCAACTCCCCTTCTTCGCGTGACTGATCGCAGGGCCAACCTTCTGAGATGCCAGATTGCAGGTCCACCTGCCACGCCCGCCTCCTGGCCAAGTCGACCAACGATTCGAGAGGGAGAGGGGGGTGTGCGAACGGGACGAGGACCCGGTGGAGGTGAGGAGACCCAGATGAAACTAGGTTACTAGGGCCTAGGGGTCCACATACCCAGTGTCGATGGAATCCGAGCACTTTGCTCAACCAGCAGAAGCTTGGGTTCCGGAGTGTGTTTTTTTCAGTTGGACAGTGGCGCTCTTCTGCAAGCGCGCCGGGGTTGCCCCACCGGGACGAAGACCCTCTGACCCTTTGACACTGCGTTTCTTCGAATCCGTGGGTGGACTTCGACGACGCGAGCGAGTTCACAACGAGTGGGGGCACGAGTGGGGCGTGCGCCGGCCGGCACCTGGACAATCCTGCAGTCCGGCACACCTACTGGTTTGAGCAATCGCATTTGATATCATTTGATCCTACGAAGAGCTCGTGGCAGTGTCATTGCACACAATCAAATGTGGACATCCAGTTCCTTCACTGGCACTCCTCGATGGCTGGTTATGACTGGTTGGTTTGGTTCAGTTTAGGTGGCAGGCTTTGCTGGTGGGACACCCTTGCTTTGCAAGACCAGGGGCATGAAAAAGAACACTATACTCCATCCCAGGATTCGTTCAGCGACGGTGGCTCCATCCCAATGGAACCGGGAATCCGATGGTAGAGCAACGCACATGCTTCACCTTTGTTGAGGACCTGGGATGGACCTGGGTGACCTGGTGACCTGGTGTCAAACGGTTGTAGACAAAGCATGACAAAGCGACGAACTTTTGCGCAAACCTCAGGCGCTGAAACGGAAGGGGATTGCCGCGCTCTGAGGACGGGGCAGCCAGTTAATGGTGGATTGGTCATCGCTGAGGGCAGATGTGGGAGTTCAGCGCCGAATGTGGCCACAGACCAGGATCTTTGGGTCGACTTGTTGTGGTGTGGCTGGTGAACAATATTTAGTTGTGTAAGTCTGTTTCTCTCACAACCCAGTACAATCCAATGATATCCAATTATTTTGTGGCCGCACATTGAACTCCCAGGGCAACAAAGTCATGCGCGAGAAGAAGATGAGCGACGGACGGGAGCAATCCGGGTTCACCCCCAAGTAGATGGAGAATGAGATAGTCATCCATTTTCCTCTTGTGTTTGACATGTTCTGTCAAGTATCGCTGCAACAAGGCCCTTGCATTTCTAGTATTTTTAGAAGGCAAGGAGTTCAGAAGTTTGGGATGGAGCAAACTTGACCACTTTGCCCTCACCCAAAAATTTGTCGACCCAAGACAAAACATGTTTGGGGATCCTTTGGGTTGAAGATTTTGCACTCCAGGATATGATAGGAGTTGAGCAACCCATGTCGGGCGAGTGTGGATCAAGCTGGTTCAGGCTTGACATGGCGATTCTTCATGAATCATGAGCAAGAGAATACTCACTACTGACACTTAAGAGATCGGGTTGGCGTACCAGAGCAAGAAACGATTCCCAGAGAGTTTAGAGGGTAGGATGACATTCTTGGGATTCCCCTGGCATAGGGGTTCTATGGGGTGTTTCTTCACGGTTTTACTGCGGCTGAGGGTCGAATGAATGTGATCCACTTACCAAACTGGCAGCGAACATTGCACGCTGATTCCTACATGTGGTCCCCCCTTTTAAATATACCTCGTACACTGCCTGAGCTCGAGATACCATTGGGGCACGATCGGCTTCTGTGCAACAAAATGCCTTTTCGTTCGGCTCAAGATCCTCGGTGGACCCTTGGAGTGTGTGTTTGGAGCCCGTCACCGCGCAACGCTGGAGGCGTGGGGGGGGGGTGTTCCCCGCTGGTCGTTCGGCATCAATTCCGTCCACATCGTCTGTTCACCTCATTGACGCGTGTGTCAGACAATACCAAAAGCTGAGCTTTCATTGGATTCTCCACCACGTGTGAACAGCACCCGGGTTGCCCGGAGCCGACCCCGATAGGTTGACCATGTCAGTCGACTGCGATGGTTCGAAACCAACAGAGGGCTGCAGGGCGACCCCTAGGAACTCCTTCCAAGCATGTGGTCCTGCAAATGCAGTTTCATCTCTTTTGCTTCTTCTGCAGTCACTGTAGCAGATTTGGGAGTGATTTGGTGCCTGTTCAATCAGAGGTTGCAAGACCCAAGTTTCACCTACATGATTGAAGTTGGATCATGAAGTTTAGTGGATCCATATCCATTTCAGATATATAGTTACTTTGTATGATCATCAGAGCGCGCGATATCATCCCGTGGTGGTGGGACAACGTAGTCTTGGTCTTTCAGGATGAAGAAGGCGAAGAAGAGGCGCCAAAAGTCACCGGCGAGGTCATGGGTTCATCATAGATGCCAATTTTGGTCCTTTCATTTCGGGCCACAAGGCGATTGACGGAAAACACAGCACTTCCCACTTTTCTCTTGGCGGCTCATCTATTCCACCTGCCTTGCTACGGCTGATGTCTCGCTGAAGAATGAACAATTCTTCTGTGGTTTTGAGGGAACCGGAAGCGACAACAGATCGTCTTTTTCCTTTTTCCTTTGGAGAGCATCACCGGCTTTCCCATTCGCGGGAAACCGGAGCCAGCTGGTGAAGGGAAAGGCATCTCCCAAGGAGGAACCCAACAAGGCCTTACCCAAGGCGCAGCCAAAGGGGTGCCTTCTTTTTTGTTGCAAAAGACAGACGTGAAAGTCTGTGGCAGTTTGACTTGCGTGGCAGACCAAGTGTGATGTTCATGTCCCACGTGGCTTTTTCAACTCCACCGGATTTTGTGGGGGGGCGAGACTTCAGCGTGAGAGACTTCAGACCCAGGACAACACCAAAGAACATAACAACACACCAAAGAAACAAAGGGTTTGGCCACAGCGGCAGCACCACTGACAAGCCGCGCTGGTACTAGTCACGACAATTCACAACGACAACATCAATGGCACGCCGCCGCGACAACGCCGATGTTCGCCGCCAGGAATGGATCGACGAGCTCGAGATGAGCGAGGCAACAAGGGCACGGGAGGTGTTCCTACATGAACTCGAAGGGAATTCCGACGATCTTAAAACGGAACCTCTCAAAAACCAAAAGCATAGACCATCATAGACCTATAAAGACTACTGAAACTCAAGCTGCGTTGGATAGAGGCTCTTTCCGTCCGCTCTCCGAAAGCTTAGCAGAGAAATTATGAGGCTACCGGTGACTCTCAGGCGCTGCCGTTGGCTTTCGGGGCCATCCGAGTCATCACCTCAAACCACTTGACCAAAGCAGATCACCAGCTAAGATCTTCGTTTTCGGGTCATACTGGGTCATTTTTGCTGATCGTTTTTACATTCCAAGTTTGCCTTCTTGGCCTCACTGAGTCCCCTTTTGGGGTTCTTGTATGTTCGTGACTCTGTGTAGCATCTCATGCGCTGGTCATTGACTCTGTGGGTCTTCGGACCTTGGAATCTGTATGTTCCTGTTTCCTTGCAGCTCTTTGTGGGCATTTCCGGCCGCCCCCTGCGGAGACATGATGAGAGGGCCGCCCCCTAAGGGAGAGCATGACAGGGGCAGCAGCTAGGGTAGTAGTGATGCACCTGTTGTTCCGACACCGAAAGAACGGGTGGTATGAGTCCAAGACATCATGTTTTGTTTGTGATGATATCCAATCTTATGTGTTAGAAATCTCCAGGTCCTAGACTGCCACAGCATATAACTCCGTGCTTGTGCTCTTTCAAGCGCATGGTGCATCGTTTTTGTGCTATTTTTGGTGCATCGGGATTCGCAGGGCTAGGCGTTGACCGGTGTCGTTTTCGCAAAAAAACATCGTCGACTCACCAGTCTCCAGTCGAGTCCCAGTCGTTTGGCTCGTTTTGGTGGCAAAACACAGGCCCTCTCCCCTTGTTCATCCCATCTTTGAGCTCACCATGTCTACCAAATCTTGCACTCTGCTGTGCGGCCAGATTGCATTGGACGGAGTCGTTCAGCGCCCCAAGGCGGGGGCAGGTCTCGGACTCGGGGAGCCAATGAAAACGAAGCGCCAACCGCTGGGTATGCTATGGTAGTTGCTATGGTACGGTGCAGAGGATGTGAAGGTTGATTCCTGCACAGGCCCAAGACCCTGAGCAGCCTGGGCTTGCTTAACAGGCACCCGATATCATCGAAGACCCAGTCAGTGTTCACTATTTTCAAGCATGTGCTTGTAGGTGAACACCTGGATCTGGGTGCCCCTGGTATGTTTGGGGTCAATGTTTTGTTTGCGGCAGCGTGCAGGTCGTGGATTGTGTCGTTATTGCTGGGAAGTGCCGGGTTAAAGAGTTCAAATCCTTCCTTGTTGGATTTTGTGAAGAACTGCTCAGCATTTTGCTCGGTTCAGTGTCCTTGATTTGATCTACATCGTCCAACAATGCCCTCCGTGGTGGAGAACTTGGCCCTCATCCTTGGTGGTGCTGTGGCTGGCACAGCCTTGACCAGCGCCTTTGTGGCCCAGGAGCTGAACCCAACACTGACCTGCGTGCTGCCGGTCACGATCAGGCCTTTCTGAAGACCGCCTGATTTTTTTTTTTTTCGGGGGTTCTTTTGCAATGTCAACGACTGGAAGGGCACACGTGACCAGAACTGCAGGGGAGGAAGAAGGTCAAGCAAGTGGATTCTGTGGCAGTTCCATGTTTCGTCTGACAGACTGTCAGTACCCGTGACTACCCAACAGATTCACAGCTTGCATTTGGGGCCAAGTTACGACCTTCTTCTAGAAACATGTCGTTGGTAGTTGGTATGCGCAGCGCCCGCAGCCAGACCCTTTCCTCAGACGCACAATTGTGGGCTGAAAAGCGCAGCGAAGACACTGCGACATTCATTTCCTTCATCCTCAGGTGTCACTCCCATCCCCTAAGTGCCTTCTTCGCTCGGCTGGTGGGTCCTGACTTTAAGGTGTGCTTGAGATCAGGGGTTTAGGAGACCTAGCTCCCAATCAGAGCAAAATGCCTGGCATGTACAAGGTGTCATCAAGCAGCAACATTGAGAGAACAATGGGACTTTGTCCATTTGTTCAACATCCTTACGTGGTGCGATGGCCAATCCGACTTTTTGTTCAAGAAGCGCTAGCAGCCCCCTATCGTTCGGCACCTTGGGTCTAGGTCCTTCTTTCGCGAAGCCCTTCACCTGGCCAGGAGCCTGCCACAACTGACTATCGACCGGAGAGGGTGGACCACTGCGTTGGGGAAGCCCAGTGGCGATGCGCAGTGGCTTGCTGCTTGGATGTTCAATTCCCGATCTGGGGGTGTATTTAAAGAAGGAGACCTCCCAAAGACCTCCTCGAAGAAGGAAAACAGACCAAAAGCATCCAAAAGCCGTGAAATACACACCCATTCTGGGCATTTTGCAGGTGACTCCGATGGTTTCACACGTTTCAAACATGCGCCTCATCGTATGGTCTGTCTACAATTTTTCATCGTGGACAAACTCTCGAGTGACGTCACGCACATTGACCCTTCTCTTAGTCAGATGCACGTTTGGTTCCTCATGCGAATGAGGAGGCCAGTTTTGGATGGCAGAGTCAGGACGAGGCCAGGTCTTCGGTGGGATTGCTGAAGGTGTTCCTTTCCCCTTGCTACAAATCGCTTTATTGAATCTATATACCTGGAAGCTCCAGCAGTCATTGGAGCCGGACTAGTTACAGTCCCAATATCGTGCAGGATCGGTGAGTTCTTAGCAAAAGGTCCCTTGGTCTTGTGACCTGTTCTGCGTCGCGGGACCGGTTTTGGCATGTTTTGGCCACGCGAAGCCCCCGATCAAGGGACATCCAGAGGCAAAAGAAGCAACAGTTCATCCTAGAGCAGTGTTCATCCTAAGCAACTGCTGCATAAAGAAGGGCCCCTTCACATAACTGATCAGTTCACATAACAGCGCAGTCAGCACAGCTCAGAACAATTATGTGAAGGGGCCCTTGTCATTGCGAGCCATTGAAGCTTGTGTTCATCCTAGAGAATCTACGCGTATGGCGGCGTAGAGGCTTCATTCATACAACTCAATGGCAAAACGTTTGTGTAGTTTGCGAAGTGGTTGGCAAGCGTCGTTGTGCCACGTTTAGGGTTTTGTGAGTGTTCCATTGTTCAGCGTGCCTCACAAATTTCCCACCCGTGGACCAATGGACTCCCAGCGGAACAAACGACGTGACGCCGGCCATTGGGCCGACCTTTGTCGAGGCCCCCGGGCATGGAGTTCTGGCAGTGGTGGGGCCAACATGATCGCGTTTCCTGCAATGCAGCAATTGCCTGCGCAGAGCGCCGGCGCCGGCTTCAAAATTGTAAATAGATATTTAAATGCCAAGCATAGGCTGTATATGAAAGATGGTTTTGATTTTGTTCACCTATCTATCAAACCATCTACTTATCTATCTTTCTGTCTATCTACCTAGATAGACAGCAGACCTTTTAAGTAAGATTGCCAAGCGCAGCAACTTCTCAGATTCAAAAGCATCAATGGAAGATTGGAAGACGGGCTGGGTGAGTATCTTACCTTTTGGCTGCTGTCAGTATGAGTATGATGCGCAATGAGCCTTCAACCGCCAATGCTATTGTAGGTTTATGCTCGTTGATGATCGTTCCAGAGCCGCCCTGGAAACCGTGAGTCTTGTTCGCGCATTGTTTTTAGTGCTTGCCATGTTTGTGGACCTTTGGACCACGCTTGGCGTTCTAACGGGGCAAGTGAAGGTTGAGTGTCAGGGAATTGGCAGGTTTCAGTCAGGTCGTTTTTCGCCTTTCAGGCTCGGGCCGGCGATTTTACCAAGTCGCGAGACTGTGGTCACTTGTGAGGTTTGCGCAGACATTGCCGTGCAAGACCTGGGAACAGGTTGTGCAGGTCAGGTGCTTCAGCTGGCAGTCTGGGAGCGAGGTAGCCTTTGTCCGCGAGTGACTCGAGGAGGTTGCCTTGGTTAACTATATGCGTTTCAGTATTTCACAGAAGCGTATAATATTCAATAAACCGTATTGGAAAGAACGCTTTGCGTGACATTGTTCAAGCTACAAGAGAATATTTTCGCTAAACATTCTTTTACAAGCAGTTGAAATATACATATACACATACTAACATCACCATGTAAACAATTGTTTTTTATTTCAACCTACAATTTCAACTGACAATAAATTACAGCTACCCTAAAAAGATTGAACTTATATTGTTATATGTGTTGTCAATATATATATATATATATTTATATTTATATTTATATTTGCCATAACTTTTTGAGGCGTGGAAACTGTTCACGCAATTCCAGCAGATACAAAAGCAGTGTGCCAAAGATGTCAAAGCGGTTTGACACGCCCGTGTTCATCCCCTCACCATGCCCATGTTCGTCCTTATTCCAATCGCTTGCAATGCTCTTGTGCGTGCCATTGTCACATTGCTCCAGCAAATCACCTCCATACATTCATGGAAGTGTGCATGTTTGGTCTGTTGCCAAGCCCTTCCAAGACAGCTTGTAGGCCGTATGCCCGCGACCCCACGCTGGCATTTGTGAGGCTCGCCGCAAGAGTGTCAGAGCTCCATTACAACGTCTTAAGCGGCGCCCACATACCATTGTGGGTCGAGGCTCACTTGCTTGTGGCGGGCAATTGTTAATTGACTTGAGACGCGCGTTCGACACTTTGCCGCGGCAACAACTTGTGCAACGCTTGTCTCGCCTGGACCATTTGCCCTGGCAAGAGGTTTTCCTTAGATGCCCACACTTAACGCCTACTTTCGATCTGCCTGTGCCTTCAATCGGCAGCCGTTCTTCGACCTACCTTTGATACCCTTTGACTCACGATTGGCCTGTGTAGACCAGACACATAGAGTTTGGCCCTGTCCTTTCTTTCGTGCCACCTTTGTTTCCGCGCCTCGCCCACTCACTCACTCACTCACTCATTCAGTCACTTACTCGCACAATATTTCATATCTCCACCCGGCATATATACATATCCACTATCATTCCTTGTCCTTTCACGTAAACTAGCAAGAGTTTTTTACAACATAACAGGGTTCACTACACCAGGTTTTAAATCGCAAGAAACTTTCGAAACAGAACAATACGTTAGTTAGTGCGCACTCCCTGAATTGTGTGGAGAAGAACCAGTGCGAAGAGCTATATACTATCTCGCCCGGCCGGTGGCTTGCAGCGCAGGGGGCGTAGACTGGCCGTTCAAGGTTCATTTTTGGGTGAAAGGAGATGAAGTGCCTTTTTGTTTCAGTTTGACGCTGGTTTTTCGTTCTGCAGACGTTTGAGAAAAACAATTCACTCGTCGATTAGGATCCGTTTGCAATGTTTTTTCTGGCGGGTCAGAGGCCAGCGCGCTAGTTTGTTGGTAGAGATTCCGTTGTCATCCCTCTCCCCAGCGATTCCCATCAATGGATGTCGTTCTATATCAGCGACCAATCAATACATGCTCTCCCGTGTGCAGGTGCAAAAGGACTGCATGGAAGTGTGGTTGAAGACACTTCTGAACCATTGAAGGCGCCAGAATGCTGGAACCCACTTGAATCAGGTCACCGCCCGCCCCTGCCATGCCCAAACCGTTTGGCGCCGAACTCTCCCCGCTGACTGTCCGCGTGTGGAGCCCAAGAGAAACCGGCCGCGGCTGGCGGGTTCCTTTTCAGGCGTACGATAGTGGCGATGTTTCAGATCAATCGGCCCAAGCTTGTTCCAAGAGCAGGACATTGCGATTTCGCTTGATGGAGACTTTTCATTGACCAACAAGTGACGTGAGGGGCGGGTGCGTGAAGATTCAGTGCTCAGGCGAAAGGAAGGAATGCAGTGAGTGAACGGTATAGATGCTGTATTTGCATGGTTGATAGTGTGATTTCAGACTGGATGGTTAGAACTACGGCGGGTGTGTGCCATATATGCACATGCATTGCATGCATGCATGCATGCATGCATACATACATGCATACACACATACGTACACACATACGTACATACATACATACAAACATACATACATACATGCATACACACATACGTACACACATACATACATACATACATACATGGCTCAAGCCGCGAGAGGTTCAAGCAGGCACGCCCCACATAAAGCCCTGCTCGTGCGGCACCCCCAAGCACCACGTGTGCGCACCGAATAGCAACACAGTCGCCGCCTCTGAGTTCCACCTGGGTGAGCGTCCTTTGCCCGCAATACTCGAGATCTCGATCCTGGCTGTAGAGTCCTTCGTTCACAGCTTAGGGCTTTCGCTCAATGAGGAGCAGAAAAACCAGCTCCATGGGCTCTTGAAGAGGCCCAACCAAGATCCTGACGATCCCACGAAGAGACGAAAAACGGGTGGCATCCAGACACCACCACCTGGACATTGTGGGTAACAGGGACAGCAAGGACATGATGGGGTGGACTTTTCCGTTGCCTGACGATGACTCATGGTCGTGTGATGGAACAGAAGAGTCTGATAGGGGTACACCGTTCGGCACGAACACTAGTTTTGCACATGACCACTTGGAGGAAGACGCACCAACACCTCACAAGTGGCCAAATTTGGACGACTCAGCATGGCCAAACCTTGGGACGGGTGAAGGGTTTTTTTCACTCTCCACTCAAGGACCGGTTTTGCTGCACACACCAATTTCAACCAGATGGGATTGCCGTGCTGCCTCAGGCTCAGGATGGATGCAGTCTCACAATGACAGCCTCAGTGTGGGGGATAACACACCGGACATCCTGAACAAACCAGCACACCTTGCAGAGACGAAGACAACCTCGGGGACTGTTGTTGCAGGGGAACAGCAACACCTTTTTGAATTTTCTCAACCACAGACAAGCAGTACTGCACAACCACCGCATGCCGGTTCTACCACTCATGGAAAGTGCCTGAAGATCACTGGAGGGGCACCTGACTACCCGTGCACCAGCAGTGGAACAGAAGAGCCAAATGCAGCCATGAGCATGCAGTACTAGCCTCCACCACTGACCTGCTCCTCCAGAACTTGAGCATGGTGGTGGGAAATCCCAGTGCCAGATGTTTCGCCAACGCCCCCTGGAGGGCTTTCTGCTGGATGTGCGCCTACCTGGCAGAGTTCAATCGAGATCCATGGGGGGTCATCAAGGAGGCCGTGCAAACCTCCTTGGAACTCTCCGAACCAGTGGACATCCAAAGGCTACCAGGCCTACAGCAGCTCTGGCACAAGCATGACCTCAATGTTGAAGGAGACGCAGCCCATTTTGTCCACTCCCTATGGCTGCAGTCACAAACGAGAGTGATGCAATACCGACGCACGGAGATCAAAGAAGGTGGGTATGTGAAAGAACACATCCAACTTCCTCTCATCGTCGACTACCCTGACGAATACCTGGATGAGATCACCTGGCAAGAACTCATGAACTGTTGGGCCAACCAAGGATATGGACAATACCTCAGTGACGACAAACTTGTCCTGGTCAGCCACATCAATCGGGCGGTCACCATTGAGGGCACGGTCACAAAACACAAACGTGCCCTAAACCCCCACGGACCATTCACGGTCCCCAGGTCCTTGGATGGTTTCTCAAGAGCCAGTTCCGAGTACCTCCCAATGGCATACATTTGTCACCGAGGCCCCTCCCACGACACGGGCCACTACTACACCATTTTGGTGTACAAAGACTTGATGTGGCTGGAAGACGATGGCGCCCCACCCAAAGTCCTGCCCTTCTTGACGCCCCAAATGGCAGGCCAGATTGTGCAAATCTGGAGCATCCAGACCACGGCCCTGACCACCCCGCGGCAAATCGCCAGGGCCTTGCCACCACCCGAGAGCCCGGACTACGATCCACCACTCCACAGCACCCCACCCAAAAAAGCAAGATACACACAAGACACGATGAGGTTGAATGTGGCCAACATCACAGCGTTTGGCAAGAGCACCCTCGACTGGTACTGGACCAGAGACAACGAGATCTACGTGCTGATCGAGACTCACCTGGACCAACAGAAACACCAAACCATGTGCCAATACTTTGAGGTCAGGGGCCGACATGCTTTCGGATACCCAGCACACACCAACAGCACCAATGAGGGCAATGATGGGGATATTCTCATCATTCATGACACTGCCCACGGATTGACCCAATTGGAGTCCTTTGCAATTGCTGGCTGTGGCTACCAAGCTTTCCTTTGGGAAGCAAAAGCCAGATCCATCGTGGTGGTTGCGGTGTACTTCAAAACAAATGAAACCATACAAGGCACCACCAACTCTCAGATCCTGGCAAGGATCCTCGCCCTGCTGCAGGCCACCAACAGGCAATACATCCTCGTTGGAGACTGGAACAACCACCCTGAGCACTTCCAAA